ACTGCGATTGTTGTTAGATATCATTCAACGAATTACGCCGCTTGCAGCGGTACAAAAATTTATCGTAATAAATGTCTATCGAAAATTAAGTGCAGAATTTTTGCCCCATATTGCAGATGAGAAGCTGTGTTGACAAAATATGATCATATACGATTTTTTGAAATAATTTTATCCTTTCTAATAAGCTTTATAAGCACTACAGAAGTTTGAATCTTTTAATAGTTGGCTGCTCAGTGAAGTTGTTTATCACTTTAGAAATATGCTTTGAAATACATTAACTTTCTTGGCATTATGTAATTTCAAGCGTTTATAACTTTCACTTCAGGAACAACGCCTATAGCACAGCAACTAACTCAACTGGAAATTTTGTCATACACAACAAAATTGCATTATCCAAAAGTAAATATCACTTGAAGCGGTATAAATTTATTATTTTGATTAGTTCGAAACCTGAAAAGCCTGAAAAAGGCTATAGAAATGTATTAAGTGTTCGAAATTTCATTAGCAGAAATGTACTTTTATTGAACCTCAATTGCAGATTAAATTTTCAGGAAATTATCGGTACGAAAATTTTTACTATCATGCCTTTGAATAATTGAAGAAAATTCCGCAACAAATTGTGACGAAGAAATTATTGTCTTGTAAGGTAATTTCGTGATAAATATTTCCGTTTCAGATCGAATTGTTTAGTTAAAACACTTTTGCTTTTGTCGTAATTTTTACGTATTACGACGTAGGGACTGAGTGATCCAACTTCTCTTTTCATGTCTCAATAAAATTTTATCAAATTATCACAACATAGTTTAGATTCGTTCAAAAAAGAACTCAATCTTACGTATTTGTGAATTGTTTTTAATTTTTACTGCTTCCAATCATTCTAACATTGATCATTTCTCAAGTATATGAAAGTGAAAGTGTTAACAATATCATAAAAAGTTTATTTGTTAGTTCACAGCATTTTTTTTGTAAAATTTTTAAATTCTACACTCAAATATTGTGATATACAATTTATAGTTTGAATATCATAAATGTATCTGATACAAAGAATCTTGCACAAGATGTATGCTCCATGCCAGATCTATACGTCACATCCACGATATCCATAAAATGTATACTTCCATTTATTTTAGCTAGGTCGATTTCATCGGTGTAAGTATACATTGTTTTCACATGACGATACGGTATATAAATCTCCAAATAAAGTGGGCAGATCTGAAATTGAGACGTTGCAAATTTAATCAATTTATTTGTTAACTGCTGAATTTATGACTAAAATTCGTTAATGCTAAATATCGAAGGAAAGAAATAAATGGAGTTACCACGGATTCGTCATGGCAACGATGATAAATGTGTAATTTTGGGACTATAGCTGGCTCCTTTGATACACAACCAAAAATTGCAAAATGACCAGTTTCATTTGTGTATACGTATCGAACTATGTCATTGGTGTTAAAATAAGCATTGCCTTAAATGATGTCATTTTTTTGACCCATCAAATATTGGTTTTTATTGAGTAATAAATATCCATTGATTTGAAATGGTTTGCTAAGCTTTTTAGTCAATACAAGACTGAAATTACCATAACACTCAAAACGTTAAGTGCATTCTTAGCGATTGTCATGTCCAGTCCTGAGTTAACATTTTGAAAATTAAGTAATGTTAAATTGCAAATCACTGACATTATTTTTTCACTTTTAAAATATACCCTAATTTAATTTTCACCGATTCACAAGCGTATCACAAATATAACTATTATAATCTTTTTGAAAATGAATTTTATTTGCGTCTACTAACATTTTAGCAGCAAAAACTCATCACCTAATGCTATTTTTTAAAGTGGTAATAAGACATTAAAATAGTCAATTAACTAAAAGTTAAAATGTCTTGATCTGACCAGGAATGATGTGTCAGCTTTGTTCAGAAAGCTGATTGAAAACTTCTACTTCTTCTGTTAGCAATGCTTTAATGTCATTAAATTTAAACTGTTTATCTTTTCACATCTTTTTATGTCATAAAAAATTTGATATTTAAATGAACGAACGATCTTCGTTGTACAACGCTACAAATACATAAGGAGATGGTTGTCCACTGCACACCACCTGTCCTACAGCACCAACACATTGCTTTTTTCCAGACAAATTAAGTGATATACCATGTGACTGGTAAAGTATTATACTGACAACGATAGCGATAATCAGCATTTAGCTCAACTATAAAGTGTATTACAGCCAATAGTTAACGTTACTTTAGTTTATGCATTTTACTTTGTTTTTTTAAAATGAACGATAACTAATCTGACATTAATAGCAAGCAATGGGGGATAGTTTTTGGGACATAAAGAAAGTGATTGAGTTCAGAGCTGCTAGTCTTTGCAGTTTTGCACCAATGAACATTTCAAAAACAGATATTTTGAACTGATACAAAACTATCAATGCTTTATAT